TCCTTTAGAATTGAGGACAGATAAAAGAGCTTCCCAGACAAGAAAGAACAAAAGGAGTGCATCACCCCAAACGAGTATTATAAGGAATGCTAAAGGGTCTTCTTTAAGAAGAAGAGATCAAAATATGAACAATAAAATAGCAATAAATAGAAACCTATCAACAATTATTTTAAATGCAGATGCATTAAATGCTCTAATCAAAAGATAAATGGAGGCTGAATGGATAACAAAACAAGACCCTACACATGCCATCCACAAGACACTCACTTCGCACTGAAAGACACATAATGACTAAAAGCAAAAGGATGGGAAAAATATTTCACGAAAATGGAAACAAACGAGTTCAGGTAGCAATACTTATATCAGACAAAATAGGCTTGGAGACAAAGGCTATCACAAGAGACAAAGGAGGACCCAGCAATTCCATGCCTGAGTATTTACCTGAAGAAACCCAAACCACTAAGTCGAAAAGACACAGACATCCAGATGCTCACTGCAGCAGGACTTACAGCAGCCAAGAGGCGGAGGCAGTCTGAGCGCCCTCACGGAGGAATGAGTGAAGCAGCGGTACATACACAATGGGACGTGACAGCGCCGTAAAACAGAATGAAATTTTGCCACCTGCACCGACATGGGTGGACGGAGAGGGTACTGCACTGAATGAAATTAAGAGGAAGACAAATGTCATATGATTTCACTTACATGTGGATTCTAAAAAACAAATTAATAAATAAGCAGAACAAGAAGACTCACAGACACAGAGAACATTTTGAGGGCTGCCAGATATGGGTGGGAGTTGGGTGAACAAGGTGGAAGAATTTAAAAGTCCGAAGTGGCCACTATAGAACGGTCACAGGGATGGGAGCACAGCGTGGGGAGTACAGTCCACAGCACTGTGCGGACCATGTGTGGTGTCCGGTGAATGACAGGTTTGTCAGGGTGATGACTTTGTAAGTCACATAAACGTGTAATCACTGGGTTGTACACCTGACACTAATATAATATTGTACGTCAACTGTAGTTGAAAGATAAAAGATTATTTAAAAAACCAAAAATGTAACACAGGCAAATCAGGACTCTAAACCAACCACCCTGGCTGTGCTGAGCACGGGAAATTCCTGTGGGCTGAGACTTGTGTTTCCACGTGGTGCCCGGAAGGGCTGGTGCCAGCTCCCTGAAAGCCCACCCATGTCCCATGGCGGAATTCAGAAGAGGACCAACAAGAGATCGTCCTTGTCATCCCTCCTTGCCGTCCAGCCCACTTTTGCTCATCGCCTACAAAAGCCTGAAGGTTACACACCAATAGGGCACCAAACAGAACGAGTGACGTCAAGCTGCTCTCTGCGCCCTGTGGCCTGGGGTCTCCCTCGGGAACAAGGCACGCTGGGCCCTGAGCCCTGGCTGCCAAGACCGGGGACAGTTCTCAGCAGCTTTCATCACTGCACCCAAGTTTGAGTCAGTGAGATGAGAAGACTCCAAAGCAAAGTTTGGGAGAAGATATAAAACTCTCTATTTTAAGTGGCATGAGTATTAGTACCGGAACTAATATGATTTTAAAAAGTCAAACGATACAAGATTAGTATTTAAAAAAACACTTTTAGGTACTAGCAGAAAACGAAAATGCCGTTTATGAGGATTCCATTTATAACAGCTTCAAATACTATAAAACGGCAAAAAGCTTATCGAAAAGAAACCACGCGAGACCTCTACATACACAACACTGGTGACGCAAACTATGCGGGGAGCCCAAAACCCTGGAATCTATTTACTAAAAATTGTGTATTTATTCTCGCATGTCTCAACTTCAGTCCCCTTCAAAGTCCTCTCCGTTTGATGCAATACACCTATCGAGACGTTTATTCCACTTCTCAAAACAGTTTTTGAAATCATCAATTTTGATGCCTTTTAGTGCTTCTGCCGTCTTTTGTTTAACCTCTTCCACACCGGCAAAACGTTTCCCTTTGAGGACTTCTTTCATCTGGGGAAACAAAAAGAAGTCACTCGGGCCCTGCCTCCTGTGGCTCAGTGGTTCAGTGTCGGTTTGTGAACCAAAAGGACGCTGGTTCGATTCCTGATCAGGGCACATGCCTGGGTTGTGGGCCAGGTCCCCAGTGGGGGGTGTGGGAGAGGCAGCCAGTTGAGGCATCTCTTGCACATCATGGACTTTTCTCTCCCTCTTTCTCCTTCCCTTTCCCTCTCTCTAAAAATAAATAAAATCTTTAAAAGCAAAAAAAGTCACTTGAGCAGAGATCAGGTGAAGAGGGAGGTGGGACATGACGGTCATGCTGTTTTTGGTCAAAAACTGCTGAACACAGCACAGTATGGGTGGGTGCGCTTGTAAACCACCCATCGGGAAATGGGCAAATGAATTGAAAGTCTGCAAAAAAGAAATTCACTGCAACTGAACGCAGCCTCTCACAGCAGTGCCGGCTGGGGCACTGACACAGATGGGTTCCCAGAACACACACCTGGTGGGGGAAGCCTGTGCTACAAGGGGCCCGCCCTCCAGAAGATAATCCCAGATTTTTCTGGGTCCCCCTCATAAAGAAAATCTAAGTAACTGGGGAGATACAACATGACCATGGACTTGAAGAGTCCATATTGTTAAAATGGAAATTCTCCCAAAGTTGATCAAGAGACTTAAAGCAATCTCAATCGTAACCCCAACAGGATTTTTGTTGGTCTTTGCTAAAGTACAGGAAACTGCAGGGGGCCATCTGATTTGTCACAAAGATGCCAAAGCCTACGTAACACACATGCTGAACAATTGGAGATCCACATGGGAAAAAAATAACCCACACCAGACAAACATGAATTCAAGATGGACCTGAAACCTAAATATAAAAGCCAAAACAATAAAGATTCTTTAGAAGAACAGGAAGTCACAGCCTGAGAGAAAATCATTTGTGTTACACACACCTGCCCGAGGACAGGTGTGCAGGACGTGAGAAGTCTCAGAGCTCGGCAGTGAGAAGGCCAAGGGCCTCAGGGGGCCCTCGAGTGCAGAGGAAGGCCAGGCAGGAAGTTCAGACACGCGGGTGCTGGTTCCGGCAATGGACGCTGACCCCACAGGAGCTGCCGTTCTGGGCTCAGCCACCACCGCACGCCGGCAAAGCCGAGCCGCAGGCAGAGCTCCCAGCGTCACTGCTGGGAGTGTAAATGTACAGCCACTTTAGAGAAACATCTGGTAGTTGCTGGTAAAACTAAACATACAACTACCCTATGACCCAGCGTTCCACTCTCAAGTATTTACCCAAGAGAAATGAAAACATAAGTCCACAAAAAGACTTGTAAAGAATGTTCACAGCAGCCTTAGTCATAGCAGCTAAAAGAGAAAAAAGACCAGGTGTCCATCAGTAGGAAAGTGGGCACCAAATACTATGTCCATATAAAGAAACGCTTCTCAGCAACAGAGCATCATGGACCATGGCCACACACAACACTATGAATTTCAAACACACAGAAAGGGCACAAGCTGCACGGCTCCTGTCACGTGACGTCCAGAGCAATGAACCTGACATGTGACCCAGACAGAGCAGGCGGTGCTCAGCCCTGAGCAGTGTGGGCTTCCTGGGGGCGAGGAGGTTCTGCGGCGACAGGGTTACAGCTGCACACGCGTGTGCAACTGTCGTAATCCTTCAACGACACACCTAAGACTTGCGCGTCACTGCATTAAATTTTATCTAAAAATAAAAATAAAAAGGGCCATAAACAAATACTGAATCTAGCAAAATTGTCTGGGAGAAAGGGTACTGACACCTGTACTTACTTTGGCAAGTGCAGATAGATAAAGCCAGGGTTGGCAGGTGGACAGGCAGACAGGGACAGACAGATGAACAGATATGTGACAGAGAAATGTGAAAATCCACAGCACATACAACTGTGTACAGCACATAATACCCGGTCGTGACAGTGAACCCTGTGTTACGGGTTTGTGCATCCACCACGCCGTCTGAGCATGCAGACATCCTCCTTAAAGAAGTCCGCTGTGAAACGGTGGCCGCGTTCCTTGGCAGTGGCCTCACGCACCTCGCGTTTACCTCGCCCCCTGACCGCGCCACTCCTCCGGAGCTCGATCTCACCCCGCCGGTTACTACACAGGCGTGTGGCCCAGGAGCAGGAGGCTGCGCGGTACAGCCCGGGTGTGTGGGTGAGTGTAACTGCCTCCGTGACGCTCTCTCACCTTTCTTGGAACTCGGCTCACGACTGTATTTTCAGTCACGGTTGGCTGAATCTGCAAGCAGAAAGCCAACTGTATTCTGACTTAATCTTATAAGTTAAGCAGAACTACACTAAAAATACAACAGTAAGAAAAAATTACAGAACAATCTTCACAAGAAAATCTTCAGAAAAACAGCACACATTCAGCATCATGAAAAATAAGTATGTTTTCCAAAACAAAACTACTCGGAAGAGCAGCATTCACTGTCTTGTGACATTTAGCAGGAGGAAGTCCACCATCGCGGACAGGCGCTCGGGGAGAAGGGCCCGCTGACCCTCGAAGACCCGGACCCAGAAGTCCTGGGACCACATAGAGAAAGAACCGCGGTTGCCCGGACGCCCCACGCAGGTGTATGTGCCTGGCAGTCTGAAAGGGCTCCTGATGGAGGGACATGATCTCACCTGCCCCTCTAGACAGTTCTGTCCCCTAAAGGACTCATGAACAGCACGTGGCACTATTTGTAATTACAAATTCATCACAGGACCAAACACATCGTATCCACACACAAGAAGCTGAGTGCAGCACCTTCTCGAGACCATTTCCTTAAGGAGAAGTGGAGGCTTTGCAGAAGCTCATACAGGGCCGCCTCCGCAGGGGTCATCTGCTTGTCACATCACGGGCCATCTCAGGCATGCTGCCACGGCCTCGGCTCACCCCTTGAGTGCGGCCCACCCTGATCCTCGACAAGGGGCCGTGAGTTAGAGGACGGGGAAGCTTGTGCCGCCCCGTCACCATGAGTGAGCCACGTCACCACCTGGGACACAAGAGATGCACTTACTCTGCAGCCACCGCTCTCGTCTCAGCTTCAGCTTCTCCTTCTTGGGCAAAACTGCCTTTGCCTCCGCACCTGAGGACAGAGCACACGTGCGGTGAGCAGAGCACCCCATTCCTGCAGGACAAGGCCTGAAGCCCCTCACTCACAAAGCCTGGGAGCAGCTGGGTTGTACCAGGGGGTGAGACTGGTCCCAGCCTCTCCCAGTCCCCAGGGAAAGATGGAGAGGAGACTCCTGCAGTGCTGGGGATGCCACACTGCACACCAGCACAAAGTCAGGGGGTGCCCTATGCAAAGGCGTCCCTCTGAGGCCAGGGCCTGGCACTTATCACGGGCTGCCCCAGGAAGCCCAGGCAGGCCGCCACCTCCCCCCCCACCAGGGGACGACCCTCAGGAGAGCTGCAGCATAAGCGTGCTGACCAGAGAGGGCCACATAGCTCGAAGAGGACCCGTGAGCACGCGAGAACTGGGTGGCCATCTCACAGCACTTGGGGTCCCTCTTCTGCTGAGCCCAGGACCTGGGCTCACAGTGCCCAACTTCCTGGATGTCTCCGCACAGGTGCTGCTGGAAGCCCAGAGGACTCAGGTGAGTGCCGTCCAAGTGACAGGTGGTCCTGCATCATGTCCCTGAACCAACCAGGGTAACCCACTCCCTTCAGGTGCACCTTCTCCCAAAGCCCTCTGTCCACCCTCGCCTGCCCGCATGGGGCTGTGTCCCCAGCCCCTGCTGCCAGTGTCAGGGTGTGGAGTACAACACACGCCTTCTGTCCTGGTCCCCGGGACAGCTCTGTCATCAAGTCACGGGCCACCCACAGCCCTTCGCACTGCCCGCCCCATCCCCGCAGCAGCTGCACCACCCCCCAAGCACCGTCTGCTCACTCTCGGTGGTGACTCCAACCCCCAACTCTGCAGCCTCCCCTCCGTCACCGCCCTGTCCTCACCACCCATGGCCTGTCTCACACCTCAGTTGTCAGGGCTGAACTCTGTCCCCGAATTTGCATGTTGAAGCCGTATTCCCAGTGCCTCAGAACAGGCAGTCCTGGGGGAGAAGGTCTTTAACAAGACAATTAAGGTGAAATGAGGCCATGTGGGTGGGTTCCAATCCAGTAAGACTGGTGTCCCTATAACAAGAGGAGATGGGGACACAGACACGCACAGAGGGCTGATGATGCAAGGACCCAGGGAGGAGACAGCCGTCCATCTACACACCAAGGAGAGAGGCCTCAGGAGGACCCAGCCCTCCGAGACCTTGACCTCAGACTTCTGTCCTCCGGGACTGGGAGAAATCAATGTCTGTTGTTTGAGCCACCTGGACTGTGGCTTTGGTACGGCCACCCGAGCTGACCGAGACACTCGTCTCCTCTCAAGTACCAGCGTGTGCGCCCGCACTCAGTCCGGCCTGTGCCTCCCCGCCCCGCCCCGCCCCGCCCTCATCTGCCCGCTGCCCGTGAGAAAGCACAGCAATGCTCGCCACCAGGTGTCAAGGCCCCATCACACTTGCTGGCCTGCGACACTTGAAGCCACCTGAAGACACCTGACGACAGCTGGCACTGGGCATATTTATGTTAGTGACCTCACAACGAGTCCCACTTTACAGGTAAAAAAGCAAGGCTCGGGGGCACCGGGTCGTGGAGAACTGCTGTGGACCAGGCCTGGAACAGAGTATGACGTGTGGGCCCACAGCCACCAGGCTTCCACAGCAGTGTCCTCAGGCTGAGCCCTGCTGAGGCTTCACCAGCAGCCCTGGGACCAGGCCACTGGAGGGGCACCAGGAACTTGGGATCTGGGACTTCATTCCCCCAAGTAAACCAGGAACCAAGGTGTGGCTGTAGGCACCGCCCCTCAGAGCACCCAGATGACACCCACGGCCCCGAATGCAAAACACAGAGCATCTCTGGCCTGTTTCTCTGACCCCCAGGCTGCTGCCTCCTTCGCAGCAGGCAGGGGGTGGGAAGCGAGACACAGGACCCCTTGCCCCCAGACAGGCACACTCAGGTGGGAGGGCCGCTGAGGCGCAGCATGGCACCCACTGCACTGGGCATGAGCCGTTGCACCGTGCCGGCCACGCCTGAGTCCCAGCTGGACAGAGATGGCCAAGGTGTGCCTGAAGGCATCATATGGCTCCAAGAAGACGTGGGCAGTGCCAGCTAGTGCATCAGGTGACACTGGACTCTGCTTGAACAGGCTGGACACTCAGACAGAGCTCAGCCCCAGGGCAAGAGGGGAAACACACTGGGGAAGCAGACACTACCAGGCTGGTGGGCGCCATTCCAGAGGCACAAAGAGGACACGGTCCGACGACTGCCTGCCCAGCATCAGGGTGTGGCGAGCGTGCGCGCCCTGGGAGGGCTGGGTCAGTGTCTCTGCTTCCGCTTGCTCTAAAACAGCGAGCTCCAGGCTTCCTCGGCCTTACTGGGTTCCCCAGAGACAGGTGAGGAAAGCCCTGGACTCTCTATGCACGATGCATACCCCGACTCTCATCCTTCCCTCCCGCAGCTGTTCGTGGCCGTTACAACAGGTCCACAGTGTCTGAGGAAAAACAACACAGAAACAAGTCCTGTCGAGAGCCAGGTGGCGATCCTGCTCGTGTCAGAAACTCGCGCAAACCCCGGAGCACATGACTTCATGGAAATCACAGCCCTCTGCCAAGAGAGATGCCCATGTGCTGGGCCCCACATTGTGCTTCCGGACACCGCCGGCCACGGGGAGGGGACAAGGAGTCCAGCAGCATCTCCGAGGAATGACAGAGGGAGAGTGACTGTACACGCTGGGGCAGGCCACGCCACCCGAGTGCTCAGCCTGAACCCGGGCAGTACCCAGAAGGCCAAGAGCAAAACCCTCCAGAACCCAAGATACAAAGAACGTTTACAACCACCAACGACAAGTGCCGGCAAGGACCTGGAGCAAAGGAAACCCCTGTGCACTGCTGGTGGGAACGCGGACTGGTGCAGCCGCTGTGGGAAGCAGCGTGGAGATATGTCAAAAAGTTAAAAGTGGATCTGCCTTTTGACCCAGCGATCCCACTTCTGGGAATGCATCCAAAGGAACCCAAAACACTAATCTGAAAGAACATAAGCACCCCTATGTGCACTGCATGTTATTGACAATCACCAAGGTAAGGAAGCAGCTCTAGTGTCCACCAGTAGATGAGTGGGCAAAACAACTAGGGGGCATTCACAGAATGGGATACTGCTCAGCCGTATGAAAGAAGAACATTTTACCCTTTGCATCAGTACGGATGGATCTGGAGAACATGATGCTAAGTGAAATAAGCCCATCAGAGAAAGACAAATACCATATGGTTTCACTCCTATGTGGAATCTAATGAACACACTGAACTAATGAGGAAAATGGGGACAAACTCAGAGAACAGGGTGACAGCTAAAGAAGAAGGAAGGATGAGCAAAAAGGAAAAAGGACTCAGGGACATAGACAACAGTGTGGTGACTGCGGAGGGGAGTGCATATAAGGGGACTAAACGGTAACAGAAAAACAAATAGAATAAAAAAATATTACTTGGAGAAAAACAAATTCAACCGCCCGAGTGAGCATACATGGGGGGAGGGTGGGAGGGCCACCCTGGGCCCTGCTCAACAGACTGGGATTCTCCTCAGTGCCCGAGCCCTGCCTGGTGCCCATACCAAGGTGCCTGCATGGCCCTTGGCGCCAGCGGTAACCTCAGGCATGGACCACAGTGGCACGTGGCACCCAGAGAGGAGGCCTGGTGCAGACTCAGGCACAGGCCGCTCTCCCCAGAAAGCGGGAGGTAAAACGCTCCTGTGCACAGCAGAACCACGGGCTGTGGAGTCTGACTGTAGACGCGCCTTGGGCAGCCGTCCGACCCAGCTGCGCCTCAGTGCGCAACCACGGCGGTGTTGGTGAGGTCAGCAGCCCTCTGCTCTGCTCTCATAAAGGAGCCTCGTGGAAAGAAGGCAAAATTCCAGCAAGCAGACGCCTGTCTGCCTGCCCCAGCACCACCCGTGCCCGGGCGGCCCATCCTGCTCTCCCAGTCCTCATCAAGCCACCACGGCTGCCACCAGTGTGGGATGGTCAAGGGACAGGACCTGGTTTCCCAGGTGCTGCGTTTCAGAAGGGCACGGGTATCACATGAGTATATTCTAATGAAACTGTAAGGAAAACCAGTACACAATCGGCCTTTCAACAAATGACGTCCACAATGCCGTGCAAAGGTGCTGGGGCACGCACGGGCCATGAGGGAGAACTGTGGGCTATGGCTGACGTGACCGAGTCGTGAAATACAAAGGCATCTGCGCTACCGATGCTCTCCTCGCCAGAATGAGAAACATAACCTAAGACACAGATTTGGGGGAAAATGAAGCAGAAATCATTCACACCCCTCTGGGAGGTCCCAATAGATTAATATATAAACAAAAAATAAAGCCATGAAAACACTGCAAAACACACAGAAGAGCTACAAAACACACACAAAAAAACCAGATTCGACTGCATATGGATTTAAAGCCTCAGCAGGAAAACAATTATGTGAACCAATTCAAAAGGTTCTATGGTGGGGGCAGGCAAACCCTGCAGATAACAAAACAGGTCCTTCCTATGTAAAGAGCTCTTCCCAACCAATAAGAAAAAGCCATGGGGAAAACTGGGAGAGGGGCATAAATGGGCCACTCAGACAGAAACGGCCGTTGAAAGCTCATTCTAACAGCACGCTCTATAAACCAGACCCCTCTGTCCACTCTCCACGTGGCAGAGACCCTGCACCCGGTCCGCACCCGCACCCAGCTGGCACGGACCAGCGGCAGACTTGTGCGCGCTGGGCGGAAGCTCCGTGGGCAGCGCCTTCACAAGGCAAACTGGCACCGTCTACTGGCATTTGCAGTATCCATACATTTGCCTTAGCAATTCCACTGCTATAGGTTTTTTTTTAAAGATTTTATTTATTTATTTTTAGAGAGGGGAAGGGAAGAAGAAAGAGAGGGAGAGAAATATTAATGTGTGGTTGCCTCTCACGAGCCCCCTGCCAGGGACCTGGCCTGCAACCCCGGCATGTGCCCTGACTGGGAATTGAACTGGCGACCCTTTCTCAGTCCACTCAGCCC